TAAGTCGTGTATTTTTTTTTTTTTTTTTTTATTTATTTATTGCAAATTTGAACATTTACCTCAAGTGAGAATTGCCAGCAATGCATGTATAGAAATACCCCAAAGGACTTCTTAGTGCACCGAAAGACACACATATCTCTGGGTGTACCAAGAATACAGTTTTTTTTTTGCATTAAGGACACTACAGTGTGTTTTAGGAGCACGAAAACATGGATACAAGAAGATATAAGCATGTAAAGCATGCATATAAAATTTTGAATCTAATTTAATAGACTGATATAATATTTATGATTCTTGAAATAAAACGACTTTTTAATCAGCGCGTGTCACCCTGCACGTGACGAACGGCACGTGACACACGAATAAGTAAAAATTCCCAAGCATCATGTTCAATTAACCTTATGCAATAAACAATTGATAAGTTAAAACAAGGATTTGTATAGATTTACATTCCTTGGTTGATAGTAGTTCGATGAAAAAATACTTGAAAAAACTTATGTCATGTCATTCACTTTCAGACCTTAAAATAAGATAATAGAAGCAAATACTATGAGTATCTCTGTTTCAGAAACATAAGTGGGTAACAAGCATTCGTTACTGCAATTACTAAATAATCATATCAAGTACTATAATTCACTTTTGTTCATCTCTTTGTCCGATGGACCAAAATTAACGTTAAGGCAACTGTGAAGTTCGTTTTAAACAAAGGCTTACTAGCAAATGACGTTCCTATATCAATATTAATAATATAAAGCAGTAAAGTATCCAAAAAATTGAAATAACAATTTAGGAACTTTCTAAGTACAAAACCTTTTTCTGGGTTGACCGTCACCATACATGCTACACGCTCAAAACCCTAAATCTAAAAGACAGGAAGGGATAAATACCTGAATACGTAGAGAGTTATATTGTTAAATGAGAACTAATACAGATGTACGCTACATGGACTAACATTATTACGGACGATCTTTCAGTGCAAGCAAATAATATATGTTAATACTCAATTTTCCTTGGAACTTGGTATTTTTGTTATAAGTGTAAATTCGTCATGATAGGTATAAATAAAGATAATTAATTCGATGTGTATAGACATCACCTGTCAGTTGTAAAGCGACAGGTCTAGTATTCAATTTTTTCCATTTTTTAGAAAAAAAAACCAAACCCAGATACATGTTGACAATTAATGACATGACATGGTTACGTACCTAAGCAGTTAACATAGTACCATTTGCAGATTAAGAGGCATTTGTGATTGATAAATATGTCTCTAAATTCCTACCTTATATTGCTGACTAGCGATATTTTTTGTCATAGTCCAATTCTATTTATAAAGTCGTTCATTTCTGTACTTTTATAAAATTAAATGAAAGTTTAAATCTTTCTATTTTAGAACGGTGACACTCCCTTACACGTTGCTGCTCGATATAGATCACATGATAAAGTCCAACTGCTACTAAAAAGAACAGATGTAGATGCAAATAAAGTAAATAAGGTAAAGAATATAGTTCTAACCAGGATTGTTAACCTAGATACATCGGACTACACAACTGTCCAAATCAATGTAAACACAATGTTGCTAAAATGTGTACATATCTATGCAATATACTTAGATATTCGTTTTTTTATCTTATTGACACTCATATTGGAAAAAGTGGATTTATTAACTTTTTATACATATTGATTTGTATGGAGAGTTGTCTATTTGGCACTCATAACACATCTTCTTATTTGTATTGAAAAGAACTATAGAAAGTTAATAAGTTAAACATCCGTTTCTTTGTTTTTTGTTTTTTTCGTTTGTTATTTCCCTAGATGAAGGTATAATATTTTCTCATTCGCGAAACCAACTTGTGACTAGCATGTTTCTACTGCTATGTTAGATACCAAAAATATATTTGTAAAAATAAAGTATATTCAGTTGTAAGTCATATACATATAACGTTATCACTAAAACTTGAAATTTTTCGGTGGTTAGCGTGATTTTGAAAGTGTATTTTTGTTTATATTTTCCTATTCATCTTTTCGGATTGATAATAATCGGTTTTCAACATTGATTTCATGAACCTATTTATGAGAACTTCATGTGTACTGCTATGTCCTGTGAACAGACATATTTATAAAAAATAACATATCAATCCCCTAAGGTATTCGTCGCTCTTGTTGAAAGTATCTACTGTTTTATTTGATCTGTAATTATACGGACTAACTTAAATTTTGTGCTTTTCGTTTATGTTTCAAAAAAACATGAAATAAATTTCAACAATATTTGTTCTAACATTTTCCTTTTTTTTTATTATGATAATTTTTCGCAGTCGAGTAGGAAAAAGGACGTTTTAAAAAGTACTTGTACATCTAATGTATTTATTTCTTGTATAATGTTATAACTGCAGCAAACGTGTCCTTTTCGTGATTATCAAAAGCTATTTGAATATATCTGTACAATCACTTTATCACAACCTAAACGTATACCGCATTTTTTTGTTACCCTCTGAATCTATATTAGTTGTATTGAGTTAGTGAATACATATCCTGGGAAACTGTGCTTTTTGTTGTCGTTTATCGTTTCCCATGGCGTTGTCAATTTGTCTTCGACTAATGAGTTTGAATATCCATTTGGTATCCTCCACCTATTTTTGACTTAACACAAAGGATTCATGACTTAACTCTTAACAGATAGGATCAGTCCCACCTGTACAAAAGTTAACTTGGAGCAGACTTGCTGACAGCTTTCCAAGTTAACTTAATAAATTTAAAACAGACAAGCATGTTAACTTCATCGAGTCATGCTGACTGTCCTACTTTAACTCATAAATTTGATATTTACCCCCGTGGTTGTATCTCATTTCCTTACGTAGTACAATGTATGAGGAAAGGTAAAATCTTAACAATTGAACTGATATTAGCATAACGATGTTAAACTCGTTTGTTATATCTGCACGACCTATCTAGGACTTCGCATGTTTTCAATCCGCTTTTGAACAATCCTACAAGTTTAGATTTAAAACTGGTGAAACGTTTTTCAAAGTAGAAAATAATATTTGTTGGCCCTAACTGAGAGCGTTACAAAGATGAAAACAAAAAGGTATCACGAAAATATTGAAAACAATGGATAAAACAATGTCCAGACGTACACAAGTACTATATCAGGGGAATCTTTTATTTTTTTCGGATTCAATTAGGCTAAAACAGAAACTTTCAAAAAAAATATATACATGGATGAAATCCACTGGGAATACAGAAGAAGTAACAGGCCACACCTGTAAACTGATTAAACGAATACATGCACTTCCCCTAGCATTCTACTTAACATAGTACTTTGATTCAAACAATATCAAGTGAAATTTGGCGAACTTTTTCTACAAAAACTAAATATGGAGCTTATGTAATTGAGAACGAACAACAATTACCTATGTTATATTTACTGAGACTAAACAAACTTGTACATTTATGTATTTTTAATAGTTGTCTGTTAAGAAAGTGAAATATTGTTGTAGTAAGTGTTAAATGAAACCAATTTAGTTTAACAACATTAATGAACTCTTTGTGATTCAGGTGGATTTTATGAATATAAATAACATATCTTACAGTTTTCGTTTATTTTATTTGTTTATGACATATCAGTTTGTCCTATGTAATTCTAACTAAACGTAAAATATGTAATAAAATAGATCAGGTTTTTATAACCACGTGTTCAAAAAGTTTTCACGAAAAAAATCCTTTTCTGTGGTTCTTTGTTAATCAAACCGCAATTTCAAGATTTCAATAACAGAAATTCATTAGTCAAGGGAATGTTCAGCTACAGAAACACACTTTAATGAATTGGTACGTTCATATAATAGGTCATTCATTTTCAAAATTTATTTGTTGAATATACATTCCACAGAATCTAATTGAAGGTGTTCAAATTTATGTTTTTATTATTCACTCAATGTTTTGTAACCCCCATTTATTTCCCCATTTATGCTGTATTCTTCCAATTGAACCTCTTTTAAAATAATTTTAACAAGGTAAGTGTCAAATTCATTTCAGATCCGTTTATGATTTGTATACTTTTATAGTCCTTAGGATTAGTTCTACTTATATATTTGATATCAATTATCCAATACATATTTTTCGTCAAAAACTGATTTTAAAATGTTTGGTTTTTGGATATCATGTGTGTGTAGTGATTGTGTTTCATGCATTGACACCCTATTCTTTTGTTTCTTTTCAGGTTTTTTTTTACAAATTCAACCAGCCCATCCCGTTAATTTCCAATAGTGTTGGATGCATTATGCATTACTGCTTGATCTAGACTGAATTATAAAAGTGACGTTAATTTGAATTTCATTCATTATTCTGAATAAAATTATTGTGTGATTTGCCTTTTGTTATTATGATATTAGAAAGAGTTGTTTTATTATGATCCTTATTATTTCTAGGATGGGAACACTGCATTTGACATAGCGGCAGAAGCAGAACATTTCGAAATAGTCAAACTGTTATTAGGAAGAACAACTATAGATCCAAGAAGAGTATATGAGGTATGTATTGTACTGCTTGAGATGATTTTCAATCGTTGCTTAAACGGCTCAGACAATGTCAGACCCAGTGTTCACACATCAGTATGTGTTTCCACCTTATAAAAAAACGAAATACCGAAGAGGAAAAAGGACTTACAGTAACCAAGAAGAAATCAAAGGCATCTACATTATCTGATTCTTTCAAACTCAGTAGATGGTAGACAGTGGTGGTTTTATAAAGAAAGAGTCAGGTGGGATCATCTTCAATTGGAAACAATCAAGTTGAATGTCCACAAATTATTACTAACATAATTTCATTTAATTTATACAGGTTACTTTTATAAAAAAATATTAAGAAAAAAAAATATCTCAATTATCTTATCTGTAACTTCTTTGTTATTAAATGTTGTCTTTTACAGAAGATATGTGAGGCTCATGAATGTTTTACCTTTTGTGTAAGTACTGGTAATATAATAAGATTTATTTTTCAGGATGAAAACAATGTCTTACACAAAGCTGCTAGAAGAGGAGAACTCGAATTGGTCGAATTGTTACTTGAAATATCAAATATAGATCCAAATCAAAGGAATAAGGTATGAGATTCATGGATTTCAATCCGTCGTAAACTTGCACCGTGTGAAGTGTTATGATCATAAAATCGTCTATGACAATCAGTCGATCAGTCTTAACCTTTAAATTTAGTCTAGACTGGTCTGAATCGTCCCATCTACCTCAATTATATATTGATCCTACAAAATTCCAGGTTATTTGGTAATTTGATTCTCTGCTGTCAGATTAAAGGATTTAATTAATAGGTAAAAAAAAGCTAGAATTTTCAGTTCTGATTAAATTCAGATAGTCACCTTTAACTATTCTATAACTTTTTCAAATCAACTTGGATTTTCACACATCTTTACAGCTATCTTAATTATACATTAAGATTAGAGAATGGCAAGTGTATAACCTTTAGTGCGAATGCAGTATTCAATTGAACTTTTGTAGTATCTTTCCGATGAGTAAATGTATAAAATGCCATAAAGGAAAAGAGTTAAGCCAATTAGTTAACCCTTTCCTTTTCCCACCGGTACAGCTTACATATGAGGCAAGTTTGAAAACATTTTTTACAATAACTCTTGTATCATCGAAATTCTTTAACGTACAGATGTGGTAAAGGGCGCAAATTTATCTTCATAATACCCGCTTTGTGACTAAATGTGATTCAAACTTTCATTATTATCTGTTGATGGTCGATATACCTCTTACTGAAAAAAATACTGCAAAGAATACTGTTTTTTTTTGGTTTTTTTTAGGGGGGTAAAAAAGTTTATTTTTAACAACTGTGCAGTGGACTTTGGAAGACAAATGTCAGAACAATAGAAATAACTTGTACACTAGTAAAAAATGTAATTTCTAGTGTACCAGCGCAATTAGAAACCTAAGGTGCGCTAACAATTCTTATAATTTTTTACAGAAATTATTGAAAAAGTTACTAAAACCGCTTCAATATCCTGAAATATTTTTAACGAAGTTGAAATTTAATTTAACCTTATTTTACTGTCTATTTTAAAAAAGAAAACCAATTACATACAGAAAAACTTATATTTCTGTTTGTAGTCTTGTATGTTTTTTTAATATTTGTTTACTGATATGTTTTGGAGTTAAGTATGACATCAATTTCACTTAACTAGTATACATGTTTGTTAGGGGCAAGCTGAAACCCTCCTTCGGGTGCGGGATTTTCTCGTTGTGTTGAAAACCCATTGATGGCCTTCGGCTGTTTTCTGCTCTTTTGTCGGGTTGGTGTCTCATTGAAACTTTCCCCATTGTCCCACTCATTTTTATGTAAGTTTCAAAAGATAGTATGTACCCAGATGCTACCCCGCCCACCTTTTTTCCTTTTAGCTTGATTGGGCTCGGCTTTAACATGTTGAATGAACACGTTTTAGACAAAAATGTAACTAGTGACTTTTGGAAAGATATCACGTGGCCTACAAAAACCCGAATTATCTTAAAATTTTATTTTTTGGGAATATTCGATCAATTATCTTTCATATGAGTCCAATATGGCAAGTTTTTACACTTCTAATTAAGGTGCAAACTTCAAAAGTATTCGGACACATACTTTGATTCATACAGTTGTATAAATGTCTCATATCTTTTGTGTGCCCTAGTGTCCATGGTTATCAGCCGTATCTATATAATTCGCAAAATGTACTATCGACTGTCGAATTTGACTCCGACCACTAACCTATGTTTACACCGGAATTGGATTTCGGTCTTCTCGAATTCTCTTTAAAAAAAAATGTTTGTAGCAATTAAAGATTTGTTTATATAATATATATGTTCCTAAAACAGACAGAGTTGTTTCTGGATCATCTATTGTTTCTATTTCAAGACCTACTCATAACTTACACAGACTTATTAGCTAGTTTTTTCAATAAAAAGGTAAAGAGTAGAAAAACACCACTTCATGCAACCTTCATGCTACCGGAAGTCGTGAATTGATATAATTTATCATGGTAATAAAGGCTGAAAGTCTTCGTCCATTGGCATCTGATAATAAGCTATTGTCAAATCAGGTCCTGAATAAATTTCGGCATTAAATTTTCCTAAAGCATCAAATACATTATCTATAAGAGGCAGGGGATGCTGCTGAAAAATGATTGATTTATTAAGTGAACGAAAAGCAATACGTAATATCAAGATGTTGTCTCTTTAACATATGCTCGCTAGTGGGTTCGTCTGTTATATTCTATTCAAGAAGAAGTTCCTGCCTTTGAATTTCTTGTTTATTAGCTTGCCATGTACTATAAAGATGGGATTTAACAGGCGAGCCATTTCCGGTATTACATTAACGCGTATATCTCTGATATCTCTAAATTGATTGCAAACACATTACTATTTGGTTAAAATTTAATTTTTTATCTTTTTTTTTTGTTTTTGTTTGTCTGACAAACCAGCTTTTGGTTAACATGATAAATCAAATTGAATATCTCTTTGATTTGAATTGGTTTATATATAATTTAAGGTGGAACAGTGGATTTATGTTTTTCGATTTTTGATTAAACATCTATCTATTAGAAAAAAACTTGTTCTTAAATTATTTGAGTGGTTCCGATAAATAATGTAGATGCAGCCATGCGTATTAAAAACTAACACACACATTTCTGATCGTTTTTCGAGGAGTTCATGGATTTATGTAAACCCTAGCAAAACATACTGTTACTTTTATTAAAATGAATGTAATGAATCTTTAATTCAAGATAAACACTTTTTTTTTTAACAAAAACTGTTCCTTAGATCATTCGATGTCTTTAAGCTGGTGTAATATTTTTTTTTTTCATTGATAGCGTATATCGTCGAAAAAGTGTTCAGAAGTAGTTTAATTTTAATTTCACAAAAAAATTAACTGGGTTTAGACATTCATGCATATTTGTAACAAAGAGTTTATATAGTGTTTTTTCTCTCTCGATTTTCACGATTTGAACAACTGTTTTCAACAATGTGTGTCCTGTTCAAAGCAGAAATTAAAACAGGCCCAGATTGCTATTGTGGTTGCATTCTCATAGTAGATATACAAACTTTAGAAAAAAAATTGGATTGTGTTACACAGATATCAAACGATACCATTAACTGGTCATTGGACCCTATTTTAACAAAACCCATTGTAGTCAAAACATCTACGAAATGATGTTTGAGGCTGATTTTGATACGGAATTGGTTGTCAATAGTTTTGATTGGCATCTTATTTAATCTTTGACGTGGAGGCTGTTTTAGAGGTGCCCTTTACCTACTTGATTGATACATTGATTGATTTGGTGCTCTTATGGTATAATGAATTGTCTGTTGTTTGTAAAGACGTAGGATAATCGGATTGTCAGTTGGCCAACATTCAATGAAACAAAAGTAAAAATAAATATTTTACTAAAACTGAACTGAACAAAATCAAACAAAACTTAACACAATTACAACATGGAAATGAACACAAATAAATGTACATGCAAATGAAAGTATGATTACAAACAAACAAAAGTCACAATTCAAACATAATACACACAACAAAAATGTTACTTGTAAAAATTAAAACAAATCAGCAAAATGTTTCATTACAGCTACTACCATACACTCTGTTTGTGGTCAAGATCTAGGATATAACCTTTATCTTCCGGTTTCTCAAATAAAACAGAACTATCAAACAATGTACACCAACTTCCGGTATATCAAACACCAACTTCAGGTTAAGCTAAAAACAACTTCTGTATACGCAAAATACATAATTTCTGCAACATAACATAAATACTGGCTGTTGTATGATACGTTAAGCTAAACCTTGTATTTGGGAAGATCTGTGTCAATAAATGGGACGTACGTTGTCTAACTATTGTCGCTTCAAAACTGAGCATAAAACTGCATGGTCAAACCCCCGAGCAAATTCATTATATTGTCCTGTGAAACTCCATATCCTGAACCGACAATTTTGAGGTATCACCAAATATATTACTGAACTGCAGCAGACTAAACGTCTGTTCACATCAAAATCTAGGTGTGCTCTGCCTAACCACTTTACCTGTATAAAAAACCATGTGCCACCTGTCACATGATTTACCTGGCGCGTAAATTAATGAGTGGGGTGTAAATCAGGTTGCAATTTATACATACCGTTATAAGCCATGACTGTAAGATAGTGAGCTACATTCCATGAATTACAATTTATGAATAATAATTAATAAAGAATAAACATTACATAACACAGTTCGTCACATACGTCCCCCTTTAGAAGACTAAACTATGATTCAGTCCAGCCAACAACAACGAACTTCCAAAATTAATCTGAAATTGATACCTCAATATATACATAGATACAAAATATACACATCAGAAGCTAATAACTGCTCAGGGGTCAAACTTCGTCGCACCTAGAAAGCGCATCTACTGCTAGATCCCTGTGTAATCGTGTACCTAAGCTCTTGTGAAAATAAACTCCAGCGAAGTAAACGCTGGTTGCTGGTTTTCATCCTGTAAAGCCACTGCAAAGGTGCATGGTCACTGAAAATGGTAAATTCACTACCCTCAAAATATACCCTCAATGTCTCTACCGCCCACACAATAGCATAACATTCCTTTTCGATGACTGGATAGTTACATTCTGCACCACGAAGCTTCCTACTGATAAAAATAACTGAATGTCTGCCATCTTCAAATTCCTGCTCCAAATCAGCACCGAGACCAAACTGTGAAGCATCTGTCTGTAAAATAATTTTTCTATTTTAGTCAAGGCTTCTCAAAACTGAATCTTTACAAGTTGCATGCTGCAATGCGTCAAAAGACCTCTGGTGTATATCTAACCATTTGACCTTGTTAGGTACATTTTTCTTGATAAGACATAACAACCAGCTGCACAAATTGTGTTTAATAAAATCTGAACGAATCTTCTCTTATTTAGTACGATTTCCTAGGTGAAAATGAAGTTTTGCTACAAATGGAAAATTAATGTTCAAGTATGTGGATCAGGCTACACTTTAGAGGTATTCGTGATGCTCAGTCTTAAATTTTTATGTAGAGTTCTAAATGTTGTCGTTTGATTTAGTTTTAT